CCTCCAACCTACTTGCGATGGCCTCCACCTAATTGCGATGGCCTCCACCACTGATTTACCAAATTTAATATGACACTGTATCAAATACATCATCATACCACACCAGGCACACACTCCGTCACACGGTCCACCGCCCGCCTGGCCTGCTGGTGCTTTGGAGGATCTCTGAGGCTGTAGCTCCGACTCCTCAAATCCAACTGATGGAGTGGTGCTCACTGCCTGGTCCCCAGCAACTACGATGTCCATCTCGGTGCCTAATTATGACAAGGGAGAATTACAGTAACCATTCATGATTTACGTCCCATTTTACCAGTATTGAGCCTACACGATTGATCTGACTTGATCTGTCAGGTTCAGCTCCTGTGGGGTGAAAACCGAGCGTTGAACACTCCCGGTCTCAACGAGTCTCCTGTCTCCAGGTGGGTACCCGCCATGAGATGTATTTCCTCTAAGCGTTTGGGCTGCTGATCGGCAGAACTGCCGTCATTTTCTGACTTTCAACACACAGTTCAGCACAGTTAAACATTGCATGTAAAGTTTAGCAGCACAAGTGCAAGTTGCATCGTTTATTGCACCACATCGGTGGTGAAAACAAACATTCAGTCAAGAAGAATATATCTTACAAATACATTTCAAACACTGAGGCACGCCGTTAGGAAAGCATTTCCTCAATCAAGATCCTCAAGGGAAGTGCCCAATTGCACGCCCAAGCGTCCCAACCACATAAAACCCTTGAACGTCTCAGTCCTTGTCGTTATCAAGAAACTCCCGGAACCACACGCGCTCGAAGAATTCCAACCTCAAAAACGGGTCCCTGGAGAACGACCAAGAAAATCTGGCTGGGTTGACATCACAGTGGTTGCGTGTGGTTCAACTGTGCCAACCATTTGTTGCATGAGTTTCGGCATAGCTTCGGCGCATGTCGTCGACTAAAAGCACAGTGGGCACACAAATTGAGAAGGACAAAATGGCAATCAGCCAGTGCTAGCTGCTGAGAGCTTCCTTCTTCGGGTCTTGCCCAAAAAGCACTGTGAAAGTGCTTCAACTGCACCTGAAACAAAACCCTTGCTGGATGGGCACGATGCCGTGGCCTCAGGGAAATTTTGCCACAAGTAATATAGCCGCTGTAAAAGGTCAAACAGTCACCAGTTGTATGTGAACCTGTTGTGTCGACCGAGTGGTCTGCGTTACAAAAAGGTACAAGAAAACGAATCTCATCCATCAGCAAGGGCTCCACATGGAGCCAATCACCGGCACGAAGTTGGTCGAAGCCGGTGAGATCCGGTGAGCGAAACCTCCGATTGAAACCGGATCTCGTCAGCTTGGTCTTGGTCTGCACTGCAGTGCTTCGAGAACATCGAGGGGGACAATGGTGGGATTTCAAAGACGTCTGACAGGGACTCGACTCTAGATCATCCTGTACAACCTAATACCAACGGCCTAGTAGTGATGGCCTGCAACCTAATCGCAGTATTGGCCTCCAACATCCTCCAACTGATTACTGGATCGAGATGTGCAAAAAATGTACAAACAAGTTAGGTCTCAGGATGTCTCAAGTACTGTATCTCGATCTTGAACGAAGCACTCACATGCCGCAGCGATGGACTTGGCAACCCCGTTTTGAAAAAGTTTTCCCAGTCACATGCAGAGACGAACCGTTTCTAAGACTGGGTCCGGGGATGAGGCAATAAACACATGTTGAAAATCACTAAAAGTTTCTAGTATTGTATCTAGAAGCTTCCTTGGGAATCGTTTCACTGGGAATCGTTTTCCCCTGTAGTAACAAGAAGCTTTTAGTATGTTGTTGAAGCTTCTTAGTAACAAAAAGCTACTAGGTTGGAGGCCATCGCTACTAGTAACAAGAAGCTACTATATAGGTGGAGGCCATCGCTATTGGGTTGGACGCCGTTGCCCAGAACAAGAAAGCTTTGAAGCTTCTTAGTAAGAATAAAGCTTTCTCCGAAGTTGATGCTGTTCGCGATTCCTCGCCGTTGATCCAATCTCCATCATCCCTCCGGCCAAGTAAGTTGACGAGAACACGGAAACATGGCTACCTGGCTACCTGTCTTGCAAACGAATTCCATGAAAACCGCTGCTGGTCACCCAGGTGATTGGCAGACGCCTTCACAATGCTCCTTGTTGAGCCTAGCTCCTGCAATCTAATGTGGTAGTTGAATCCATCATGATCAAGCACTCAGTAGCAAACAAGCATCAACAAGCTAGAATCCAATTTAGGTGTGAGTACAAGCTCAAGAGTCGGGAGCATCTTCAAATGCCCTGATTACTAGTAGGCATATTTTGCCTGCTGTGCAGGGTTGACCCTTCGCGCCGAGGGTACTGGGCGCGTTGGGCTCGGCGGCATGGGCTGGCCTACTGCTTCACCAGTGACGATGGGTTGAAACGGGAAGGCCTGCAAGTGCCAACTTGCAAAGGGAGTGTTCTTTCCGGAAAGATTGCATGCGTGCAGTGCCTGAAGAGCAAGATATGCTCAAGAAACATAATGAAGAGATCGGCCGATGTCCATGTTATGGAGTTGGCCACTCTGCTTTGCTGAGTAGCTATCTGGAATCCGTGCGAAGTGGCTTAAATGTCTTGGTATGACGAGCTTCAAAAACACAAACTTCCTATCATTTCCTCCACCACATGCAAACCCACCTCTGCAGGTGCAGGCCTCACGGTCCTGAGCAACAAATTGGACCCCACCTGTAGAAAAGAGCAACATCATAGCGATGGCCTCCACCCTAGTAGGAATGGCCTGCAACCTAAGAGCGATGGCCTAAGGGCCTAGTGATGGCCTCCAACCTAATATATAGCGATTTTCTTTAGAAAGCACAAAATGACAAGTTTGAACCCAGCCTAGTCCCCTCATGATCCCGCACCTGCACAAATTGGATCTGTTAATTCAATCTGATACTCACCTGAATGTACTGGAAGATACTGAGTGGAAGCACACGATTTTGCCAACTGAAGTATTCATGAATGTCACCTATTTGTTTGTTCTAGCCAGGTCAAGAGCTGGTTTACGACTTACAACCTCTAGCATCTTGGAGTCTTGAAGCCAAACAACCAAGGACTTCGCCTTCGTCCCCCGCAACAGCCAAGGCTCCAATTTCCAGAGGCCTGAAGACTTCCATCTCGACCATCAAAATGGGAGAAGGTGGCCCTGAGCTGCGCCTGTTCCACATGGATGGATCGCCAGGAAGCCCACTCTCGGGGCCGTCACATCTCTGAATTCCTTCTGTCACCCCCTCCAGAATGGGCACTTTCAAAGCTATGATTTTGGTAGGAGAATATGATGGACCATCAGCTCTACATGCTCGACACCAACTGGCTATGAGCTGCTCGCCCTGCGAGCCTCGGGCCCACGCAGCATCAAATCCCCACAAATCTCTGCTGCATTGGTTGGCAATCCAGAAACCTCCTGCCAGCGGATCTCGCCTGGGCAGAAAAGCTGAGATCGTCTAGGCTTCCTGCCTGAAATGGATTCCAGTCACTCCAGAGGCCTTCGAATTAGTTTCCAAATCCACGCAGGCCATAAAGATTCTTAAACAGATTTTGGTGGCATATTCGCGCCTGGCCCCTCGCGATCCATCTGCACCTTTCCAGTGATCTGCAGGTCCATGCCGCTGGGCCGCACAGGCCGACTACCAGTGCCAGTGACCAAACCATCAGGATTGATGGTGAGGGAATACCTGGAACAAACCCTTGGCATTCTTTTTGTCTCCAAATCACAATAGTTACGGTACATAACTTGACGGAACAAAAGGTAACATTTCAAACCAACTGTTTTGGATTGCCCCCGACCTTATAAATAGGGCTGTTTGGGATTGCTCGCGACAAGTACCAGGATGTATAGATTGCATTTTGTTTCTATAATTACATGTGCCTGCATGTGCAATCATATGTATACTATATATATATATAAAGATGCAGCGCCTCTGTTTTGTCCACTTCGCAGCAGGTTGGTCAAGAAATATAACACAATCGAACGAATCAGACCGCAACACCCTGAAACAGTGACTCCTGAGTCATCTAGAAGGGTCGACCCAAGACACCCGGCCACACCCTGAGTGCAAGGGTTCGCCCTGGTTACTCCACCTTCGAACGAGCCTAGCCTTCGAGTTTCCCAGTGGTAGTAACCTTCAGGGGTGTCGGTCCACGAAAAAAGAAACTGCCCCCCCCCCTCCTTTTCTGGCTCTTCTGGAAGCTTTCTTCTTGCCCTTTCCACGGCCCCCTGTCCTTCCGCCAACGGACGGAGGCTCAAGTGTGGAGACTTTCGGGCAACGGATGAAGTTGGTATAAACAGTCAAAAAAGGCTTTAGGCGGAGGTCACTCCGTGGTACCTTCATCTGGGCGAGAACTGCTAAGCCCTCGTTCAAATATATTCTGGCACTCTTCTGAGTGTGCCAACGCCCTTGAAGGAGGATTCGATCTAAATTCTGATGCTTTTGGAACCAATGCGTGGCCCCACCCCTTCTCAATGAGTAGGGGCGAAAGCCTAGATCGGAAATACCGAGACCTTCTAGGCACGAATTGAAAAGAGCTCTCCACTTAGCGGGAGACGGAGTGAGGGCAGTAGCTGGGGTAGCACAGCTCTTCCAAGCTTTCAAAAAACGAACAATCGGCTCGTATCCTAGAACCACGCTCTCTGCGGCTCCATGGCGCTTTCCGCCTTTAGTGAAGCCAAGCGAAATGAGGGCTTGGAGCTGACCATCTCCACATTGCATATGGGATGACGTGAGCCCTAGGATCTCCCCTGTGCGTAACATGGAGTAGAATCCAATTAAAAGGGAAAGAGCAAAAGAGGTCCATTCATGAAATAGGGCCCAGCCAGCCATAGCGAGGACTATATGCTCAGGCAGCGGTGGCGCGCGAGAAGGGATCTCATTTGCCTGCCACGTCCGCAGGAGCCGCCAGGCTCCCGGCATAGCCCCGCGCAGGCTAGGCTGGCTGTCTTGCAGCCCGGCCAAGGTATCACAAGCCTGGCCTCGCCCCTTTCCAGTGGCCCACAACTCTTCCAGATAGTCACACACCAACGGGTCAACCTTTTGCTTGTTGGTGGGTAGGTCCAAGCCTTCATGACGTAAGAAGGTGAAGAACTCTTGGAGCGCTTTATCATAGCGCTTGCGTGTACTGGGTTGCACCGTCAATTGCCTCAAAGTGCCCATACCTCGCCTAATCTTGCCACGCTCCTCTGGTGTAGCTGCTTCTAAAATTCGCTTAGGCATTGCGATATTTGGTACGAACCCGCTGACCCCAGCGTGAGGGTTTGTCAGCTGGGTTCTGGTCCGTGGCCACATAGGCCCAAAGCATTTGTGAGTTGCTACACAGCAGAAGAGCGTTAAGGCGGGAGACGGTGGATCGAAGTTTGCGTGAACTGGTTCGACCTCTCGTAAGGGCATGGAGGCAAACGAGGCTGTCGGTGAGGTGCAACATGCGGCATCCCATCTGCTGTTGGTGCTCGATCCGCCATCGGACCGCATTGAGGATTGCGCGCATCTCCAGGGCGTTGATGTGCTCCTTGCCCCGCGTCCAGGTCCATCCACTCACTATCTTCCAGTGCCAAAGACGAGCAGGCACCGAGGCTCTCAGGCGATGATAGCGCACCAGCTGGGTTGAAGGGGTAGTCAACAAAATATCCTCACCTTTCACGCTGATCAGGTTAGCCAGCTTACGGGCTAGGAGCCTTTGAACGCCCAACTTCCCCCGTGCCTGACGCAAGGGCAGGCGAACCAATCGGCTCTGCAAGGAGGTTGCCGCTCCCGGTTGGCAAAGATCAATGATTGCTTGTGGGTTCAA